ATCAATATGATCAGGTACTGAGTGCATACTTTGTATCAATATGATCAGGTACTGAGTGCATACTTTGTATCAATGTGATCCCATACTGAGTGCATACTTTGTATCAATGTGATCCTATACTGAGTGCATACTTTGTATCAATATGATCCCATACTGAGTGCATACTTTTTATCAATATGATCAGGTACTGAGTGCATACTTTGTATCAATATGATCAGGTACTGAGTGCATACTTTGTATCAATGTGATCTACCGGTAATACTGAGTGCATACTTGGTATCAATATGATCCCATACTGAGTGCATACTTTGTATCAATGTGATCCAATACTGAGTGCATACTTTGTATCAATGTGATCCAATACTGAGTGCATACTTTGTATCAATGTGATCCAATACTGAGTGCATATTTTGTATCAATATGATCAGGTACTGAGTGCATAACTTTGTATCAATGTGATCCCATACTGAGTGCATACTTTGAAATATTCTCATGACAATCTTAATATTGTAATCTGCAAGTGAGGAGTCGTCACCTGCGCATAATAACAGGCGCATGAGCATTTTAGCGTGTATTGCTATTACAGGTGATTTGTTAATGACCCGTCCTCTTGAAATGTAAGATATTGCATGACAACTGAGGTATTATTCGAAACAGAATCCACGGCTCTTACATTTTACACCTTATTATTTCTAAACCCCCTGCCAAACACACACACACACTGATGCCAAACATAAATACAGAGTGTTAACCAAAATAAATGGAAGAATGACAGATATTGAATGCAGTAGTGCGCTCACCTGAAATTTGAGAGAGTTTTGAAGTCTGGCAGATAATTCAGCAAGTTCAGCAGCAGTTGCTTCATCTGTATCATCTTCAGCATCATCTTTATCATTACTGACTGGTAATGGAGTAGTAGGGGTCGGTAGTGGAGTTGTATCGTCATGACTCACAACACTACTAGTAACAGAGGACACAGACTGGCGACGTGTAGTGTAACGAGTCTTTATGGGAACAATTTCACCAAATTCTCGAATACTCTGAAGATTGGAATGTACAATATTGTTAGAAATAACATAATAGAGGTCAGAATATGAGAGCTTTCTTGAAAAGAGTTTTTAACTTCCCTTGTATTTTGTACATTCTTGATTCCTTGCATATTTTATCTTACCCCCAAACATCACTTATTATTTATTTCCCAGATACACAATAACAGTTTGATTAATAAAATGTAACAATTACCTTTATAACAGTTTCATCTTCATATTTAAATCTATAGGTTTTACCAAGCTCTTCATCAACCTTTCTTTCACCAACAAAATGCTACAAGAAATACACAATAAGCAGAAAATGAGATAATGAAAGATCTGTATTAATACTGCCCTCAAGTGTTGGTTTATTATATTATTAACATGCAACAACTATGTATTCAATACAACAAATTGATTTCAACAAGACTAACACATTGAAAATATCTTTCCAATATTTTTCAGTTTTGATGGTGGAAAGTGTATACTGGCTTTTTAACTATGATTTTATTGGTTACTTTGGGTTTCCCTGGCCTCCTCTACCTTCTTTAAATAAGTTTAGTATTAGCATTGTGTTTTTAATGTCTATGAATAAATGGTATCTTTAAAGTTGTATCACCAGTTATGGCTAGAATGAGATCAAAGATTATTATTACAGAGTCTACTTTCCATTTAAAATACTCCACCGAAATCAATGAAATGATTCATAGAATTTCTCGGCTGGAATGGGGGGGGTACCTTAATTTCAGCTTTTAATTCAGCAATTTCAGAATCTTTCAGTACTAGACCTCTTTCAGTCATGCTTTTTAGGTCGGCAGCTTTATTCTGTCTTCCTTCCAGAAGTTCATCTAGAAAGTAATTATCAAAGAAACATTAAAAACAACTTCCAATAAGTCTACAACAACAACTAACAAGCAGCGTGTCGGCTGAGATAGCTCGGACTTGCTGTTTTCAACAATAAGTCGAAAATATCACTTTACCAAAAATATTCATCAAGATTAGAGAATTAAAGATATCATTACAAAATGAACAAATCTGAGAGAGGTCCGCATGTAGTACCTATATGTATAATATCAAAGCAATTGGGCTTGCAGTTTTCAACAAGAAGTCGAAAATATCACTTTTTACCAAAAATTACCAAAATATTCATCAAGATTAGAGAATTAAAGATATCATTACAAAATGAACAAATCTGAGAGAGGTCCGCATGTAGTACCTATATGTATAATATCAAAGCAATTGGGCTTGCAGTTTTCAACAAGAAGTCGAAAATATCACTTTTTACCAAAAATTACCAAAATATTCATCAAGATTAGAGAATTGAAGATATTACATGAAATGAACAAATCTGAGAGAGGTCCACATGTTGTACCTATATATGTAATATCAAAGCAATTGGACTCATGGTTTTTAACAAGATGTCGAAAATATCACTTTTTACCAAAAATTACAAAAATATTCACCAAAATTAAAGAATTGAAGATATCATCATGAAATGAACAAATCTAGGAGAGGTCTACCCAAGGTACATATACACCAAGTATCAAAACATTCAGGCTTGTAGTTTTCAAGAAGAAGTCAGAAAAGTAAAACATTGACACTGACGCCAACGACAGACCCTGATGGACTATCCCTCATATGATAAACTCCGCTCGACTAAGGAGACAGCTGAGCTAATAACATGTAACAACTATCAAATAAATATCTACATACTTCCTTCCAGTTTGACTGCCTTTAACTGCTGTATCATTTCAGCTTCCCTCTCATCAACACTGCAATGAAAATATAGTTAATGTTATACTGACTAGTTTATGACACAAACACAAGAGCATGTACATGAACCAATAATTTATTTGGCAAATAGGGGGGCACACCACAAGACCATCGTACACAAAAGTGAGACAATGCATAACAGACTGATAGATGGTCCCTGGTGCCGCCCCCAAAATGTAGAACAAAGCAGTGTAAACTAGCTGGCTTACAGTTTCTAAACTAAATACAAACTAGAATAAGACTGAAAACATGTTGGTTGGTGCA